GAATGCATATATGCTCAGAATGAAGAAAGCTATGGAAAGGAAAATATTCTAAGACATAATGCACATGTGCATACTCAGAAACTGAAAGAACCCTTGTGTACTCCTTGTCAGTATGTCTATCTAAATAAAACAAATAAACAACAACAACAAAAAAGTCATACACAGAAACAGTAGCATTTATCTACTATTATGCGAAACACATACATAAGAAGCTTAAGAATCATTTCACAGATGTATTTAGCCCAAATACATTTTTACATTTCATATTCTAGCCTTTAGCAACAGATAACCAATGTTTCATTTATGTAAGGTGGCAGTGAGACAAGTGAAGCAAAGTTGAATGCAACAGTTAACTGCTTGACCAAATGTGACATCTATTTGTTCAGCTAACATGAGAGAATTTATTCCCAAATCTTTGAAATTAGCATCATGGATCCCTGATCATCAGTTTAAAGTCTGAGTAGTATTAATTCAAGTTTTAGCCAGTGGGGTATGCACTGGATTTCTGGTAGACCCCCAAATTTCTTATTACCCACAGCAGAAAGTGTTTATGTTGGCTTTTTGCCTTTATGTATGTTGCCTGAGAGCAGACATGCATAATCTGGCAGAAAACCCCAACTATTACAAATTCAACCTGACAGCCTTTTGAACAACTAGAAAATATAAGCTTGGTGAATACCATAGGTCACTTAAGAGTCCTGAAGTCAATGTATTTCACTATCAATCCCCATACACAAAGAACCTACTTATGACTACAGAAGTGTAACTTGATTAGGAGTTGTACCCTCTTATGCTTAAAGTGAAAAGTTATAAATACCTTAGATGATGAATCGGGATCCCTTCCATGAAGAAGATCTAATACTTGACCAAGGCATGAATTAAAGTGCTCATATCTACAGCATATATGGAGGAGGTAGGGGGAAAAAAAAAAGAAAAAAAAGAATTTTGACTCTGACATTTATGCCAAGTGATGAATTCAAGTGCCTCGTTCTCTTCCTTAAACACTCGAACACTTCAAGTACAGTGACAGTCTTGATAAGGTAACATCTATTTAACATAGATTATGCTTTAAAATATTCTAAGAATGAAAGCAAATTCTGTTAAAATAAGTGAAGATTTTCTGGCTATTTTTACTGTTAGATTTAGATTCACATTCAGCAACCAAATTCTGCTAGCTGAATTTGCAGAACAGCTAGTCAGGCACTCCAAAGAACTACTCTGTAATGCCCGCCAGTAAAATTATTACAGCTTCAACCATACTATTCCACTTGAAGAGAATACAGGCCTGTAAGTGAGAAGACAGCTATTCATCAAGTTGTCTGACAACCAAAGATGGCCAGACAAAGAATTACTGAACAGAACTATACTTCTGTGTGAAACTAGTACCACAGGAATCCTTTAGTTTCAGGTAGAGCTGTTATAATCAACTAGTAACATTCAAAAAACATCTAGGAATATTTTTCCAATGTTTGGTTCAGAATGCGAATAGCATACAGCAAAGGAACTGGACAAGAGCTTCGGAAAAATACCTCGTACTTTTAGGAAATGAAGCCATACCTGGTAAGATAATCTGCAACTTTTGGGTTCTTCAGAAGATCCACGAGTAGATCAACAGAGTATTTTCTTGTTAAAGTACCATCTCCATTTACAACAATATTGAATATTAACTGAAACGTCTGATGGATATTTCGAGCATGAAAGAGCTGAAAGGAAGAAGAAAGTTACGTGTGGGCACTCACTTACTTTGCTGGGTCTCTTGCTTAATAAAACTAGCTCGTATTAGAATGTTATTTTGCCAGTGTCACTGTTAGTTTTATCTACAACTTAAGATAAGAACAGACTTCAAATTATCACTTACTTTTTCTCCTACTTCTTCGTTTAAAGTAAGGCTTGATAATACTGAAAGTGCAAACACAACCATAGTCAAACTACTATGGGCGAGGAAACTTATTAAGGTACGATAGAAACTCTTCACATTGTTCTAGAGCAAAAAGGAGAAACAGAGGGATTATAAATTTTATTCTAGTAAAACATGAAACACACAGATTCTACTTATTTATACATAAGCCATACAAATAATGAATAACACAAAAATATTAGAATGATAATTGTTCCCTAGGGAAGCTATTTTAGTGTTCTACTGCACAATAGTGGTGCTAATATCAATGACTAAATTCTCCCTTGAACTTGTATAAGAAAAAATGAAAAAAACCCAAACAAAACAAGGAAGAAATTCTATCATTATTTTAAACAAAGATGCAAAAGTCATTTTTCTAATGGCTCTAAGAGAATAACCACTGAAAATTGACTTCCATCTCTGCTCAGTAATCAGATCTGACAATCTGATCTCCTTCCCTCCTCCCCCACTTCTTCCAAGCTGAAGAGTACAACATTCATTGCCCTGTAGATGAATTTGTATTTCCAAATTGAAAAATAAGTAATGTTTGCACTGATTTAGGAAGATACAGGAACTGAGTAGCTCAGATATGGATGCATATTTGAGGATTCAAGGGTTCTGACCTGACATCAAGATGAGTGGTATTTTATTGATTTATCTTTTAAAAGGCAGAGCTCTTTCTTGGCCAAAGTTACTGCAGCTCACCAAAAATCCAATTACAGTATTTATACATTAACAGCACTTAGTTTTTCTAAAGAAGGATGCTCAAATTTTAAATTTCATCTCTCATTTGCAGAGAACAGTTGCAGAAACTGAATGTGTAAACAAGCTAATGCAACAACACAGAACTGTAGAGAAGTTCTACTGGTTATTTTCTCCAAAACAGGAGAAACAACTGCCAGGTCTGGAGAGCAGACACGTGAGGGTTATTATTACCACAAAAAAGTGCATAACAAATATTAAGATAATACCCCAGAGTCAAGTAACTTTTTTGCACTCAAGCCAGAGAATCACAAAAACAAAACTCTCACCAAAGATTTTATCCAAGTTTGAATATGTAAGTTGTGACGACAGAGATTTGCCAGGAGTCCTAAACACGGTATGGTTAACTCATCTTCAGTGGATTGACTTCAAAGAAAAAGTCCAGAAAATTAAACAAAGATGTTTTTATTAAAGCATCCAGAATTTAGTTACAAGAATTTGTAGGTTGGGGGCAGGACTGTTGGGTAACTGCTTATTTCAATTTGGGCTTTTTTTTTTGTTTAGTTTGTTTTTTAATTAGACCCCATCCCACCAAGCAAAGCAAAATTCAGATTGCAATTCCTATAGTGGGCAGTTTTAACTGAGCATATCTGTAAAAAACAGTATCAAAGATGAGTACTATCTAAGGTCCTTTATTGCAGGTGCTTTTAAGAGTCATTAGATCTCTTACAAGGACACATGCACAAAGTTTTTACTAATCTTCTGCTCCTAATGACAAGCATGAATTTTCTCCTGACTAGTCTTTTTATTACCTCCTTGCTCACAGGAGTGGGCTATGAGGCCAATAAATATTCAGGCACCCAAAGTCCCCCAATCACTGCGTTTGATAATCTGTAACAATGATTTTTTCAAAGAAAAATCTCTGTTAACATCAGAGCAAAAATGCCACAGCTCACTCTAGAGACCAGGTTAGTGCAATAAGATAAAGCCCTTCAGGAAGTTTATAAATTCAGCTACATATGACCCATAAGAAAAGACAACAGAGTACACACTTACACGTGATGCATTAGAAATGAAATTAATCCGCTGATGTTGGCACCAACACAAAAGACTGGAACATTGTAGGTTAGCTTCTGTAGCAACTGAATACTCTGGGGAAATAAAAAGCTATTCACACATGTCTTTTCTATAGCATTACACTGATGAACATTACAAATTTAAAAAGCTGAAACTGAAAGGACAAATAACAATACACCACTGCTGAATTAATTTTCAGACTCTAATGTTAACATAGCAATTACATGAGCTGCTACAAGCACATGGAGTAATGTCCTACCACTCGGATGTACTTATTAAGAGCCCGAACAGATGAAAAAGGGTTTATTTTGACAGAGGAGTTACCTTCTTAGCCCATCCAGTTCTCCCCTTTGCCTTGTTGGCAAGTTCTCCATTCTGTCAGTGAGAAAGGGGCTTTGTCCTATTGAAAGATCTAGAAGTTTCATCAAAATCCAAAAAGTGCTTTGCAACCTCTTGTGGAAAGTATGCTTACAGGAAAACAGGTTACAGACTGCCAATAGATCTAATGGTAGTAAAGCCCTTCATACAGCATTCTTTCCACACATAACATGAGTTAATATGAAGTTAATATAGTAAAACAGAACAAATGGCAGTGGAAACAAAATCTTGCAGTATAAATACCTGACCTAAGAACTTAAAGGTCTTACAATGAGATCTTTTCGGTGACGGCAAAAATCTCTCCCACTGACTGGCAAGTCACCTGGATCCCTAAGTCTTCAGGTACACCTAGTACTTTGAGGAACAAACACTGAAAAAAAGTGTTCTTTACTGGATGCTCGAGTCACTTTCCTCAGATTAAGGGCAACAGAACTGCTAGCAAATTACTTTTCTGTCTTACCTCTCTGGCAAAGAGATGCAACCACAGGCAGCCAGCAAGTACTTGCTGAAAGCTGAGAGCCACATATGAGAAAACTTGTGCATACTTACTTTTTTTTTTTAAAGAAAATTTTTCCCAAGTTCAATGCACAGAAAGGACAGGTTAAAGTTGGTGAAGCCAGAATGTGAGATAACACGTATTCACATACAGAAAATAATAAATTTTTAAAAAATCATGTATGCCCTTGGCTCCTAAAAATAAGCTTCCATTAGCACAGCTAATGCCTTGCATTCATGAGCAGATAGCACTGACCAGAGGGAGGCATACACACCCTGCAAAACCTACTATGAGAACTGGCAGCCATAGCTTTGCTTTCATTCCTTCACACTTACCTGTCAAAGCATTGATTAGACAAAAACTCCAGGCTTCTGTTAGGAATAGTAGGAGAAATAACTAAACACCTCAACTGGAAAATAATCTTCCAAGCTCTCAAGCAGTGACTTCTTGAAATAATCTCAAAACAATTTTTTTTGTCTGTTGGTTTAGTTGGGTGGTTTTTTGGTGAGGTGGTGTTTTTCGGTTTTTGATTTTTAATTACAGCAGGCGAGAAGCACAAACAAGATTAAAGAGAGAATACAAAAACTCTATGCAGTGTTAAAATCCTGTCATACTAGCTTCATACTGCAAATAAAATACACAGCTAAGATCATCTTTCCATCTACCCATTATTTCAGATAGAGCTTTTAAAGAGTTATTATATGTGTACTATGTAACAGTAGCCAAATATTATTAAGTATTAGTTCCTGTTACCTGTAATAAGACTGGATCTCTAAGATTAGCAGAACTTTGACGAACCACTCCTGCCAGCACACTGGTCAGATTGTAGGTATCCTGAAGAACTCTTCTAGTCTCATTGTCTAAAGCTATAATTGAAGAATTATTAACAAAATATCTTAGCTAACAGAAAAAGCAACTTTTATATTGGCTACTAACCTAAGCTGAAGCTAAAGTCTTTGACCAGTTTTTCACGTATATTTCACAAATAATGACAAATAAATTGCAGCTCCTATGCACTTGCATCTCTGCCTTACTTCTGAACTTACAGTAAATTGAAATGCTAAATTTTCTTAAGGTGCTTGGATGCTTTAGGAATGGCCTACCTCCTACCTACAAAGTTTTAGTTCTGTTTGAGATCTTGAAACCTGCACTTTAAAGCTTAAAATTAATTATTTCAGTTTCTTGCTTCACCCTATGGTGAGCAAGTTGCATAACTCATGATAGGGTTATCTAGCAACAGCTAAGTAAAAAAACCAAAAACAAACAGTTCCACTTAAGCAGTCCTGGATGAGACGTATCAAACAAGGATGACAGGTAAAGCAATAGATCAGTTGGAGGAAAATTAATTCTTAAAATTTTCCAGACGTAACAGATTGGAAACGACAGTTAACTCCAGAAACAAATACAGTTTTACAGCAACTGTTTCAAAAGCCTAAAAGGAAGTTCAATGAGGCTAAAAACTCCAAGAATCACAGAAGATAAACAAGGGGTCATCATAAAGGACTCAGATCTTGAATAATTACTGATACATGATGAGATACTAAGCAGCAAAGAGATAATGTTTCCCTGTATATGTAACCTACATATGCACATTATGGTGAGCACAGATCTTCCTAGACAATGAAGTCCCACTACACTTCTGTGAAGTGTATAAAAAAAAAGTGTGTCTCAAGAAACAAGCAAGAGACAGTGGAGCCTATTTCTTAAATAAGAAACTTGGTGCACACAGGCCTATGCCACTGAAAAGCCCAAACTGCTGCCCAGCAACCACCCCAAAGGGAAAGGTAAACTGAAGCGATGACAGTTGTTGATGTAACATGGCTTCTCCCAATCTTTGCATCTCCTAGGCAGGTTTCTTCACTTCATTAAAAAAGGAAGTCTTTTCAAGCTCCAAAAACACAGGACAAGAGAATAATTCCTTACCCTACCCACTGAGGAAACAAATCCTGACAGGCATGATCACTGTCATTTCACAGTGATGACTTCAAATCTGCTTCTCGAAGTGATTTAACATTTTAACTGGTCTTGTATGTACAGTCAGGTGGCTCAGCCAAGCCCTCCACTAAAATGAAAAACACTTCATCTTTCACACTTTATGCTTTGTCCACATTATTCATCATCCAAGCCACAGAATCAGCACCTGTCCCGTCTTCCCTTTCCCAGACCAAGGATAAAATTTAGACGCAAAACTTACCTAGCTGTGACAGCAAAGCAACCACAGACAAGGTTAAAGATGCGTTTATATTAGTGTCCTCGAGGAGTTCTACTAGGCAATTGAGACATTCATTCGGTAGAATCTGGTTTGAATCAAGTGATCGTGTAAGCTTCAATCCAGAGATAACCTGGAGATCAAGGGAAAAAAACAACCTTAATTACTCAACTGCAACAACGGATTTAACGCAGATGTCAAAGCACAAAGTTTTATTAAACAGATTTTGCCCTATTTGAAAAACCAAGAATGTAAGTGCCATTGACAGGACATTTGTGTTCACAATTTCTTTAAAAAAAATGTGAAAAAATACTAGTTTTCATTCCTGTGGATGTGTTTCATTTAGTCTTGTAAAATACCAAGTTTACATTGTGATAATTTATAACATATTGGGGCTTCTTTAGTTTGCTTGCTGACAGTACCCATAGTAACAGCACTTTTTTTTTAATCTCATAGCTGTAGCACTGTATTTCTTTACACACCAAAAAGAATTAATACCAGGTTATTCTTCCTGCATATGTTTTAGCATAAATAAAAGACAGGGTTTGTTTTGAAAGAACAACCAAACAGATTGCTCAACACGAATATTTAGTAACCAGACTTCAGCTGAGCCCAACAGCCTGCTTTCTAAAGACATGGACAGGAACCCAGAGGTGCCAAACAGCAGGAAGGATAAGCGACAACAGGTAGTGCTGCTTTAGAAGCACTCTGCTTGAGATGAAAAGAAGGAACCTGAGTTCCAAGAAGCCTATATAAGAGGCTGAAAATTATATACCTCCACATCAACACAAGTAGACATGAGTTATACACACACAGAATCACAGAATATTAGGAGTCGGA